GAGTCATGATACAACCCATTTCAACCCTTTACCATCCTCAAGTCAAAGGTTTTCTTAACACAGAACATTCTGAACATACTGCCTTCGATATTTCCACTGACACTCAGGATTATCTGTGAACCAAATCAAATCACTTTGAATGGACAAGATGAACAAGGATGCAGGTAATGTTTTTAGGCTACTGCCAACCATGTATGGCTGGATTAGTCCTGCCAAGAAGTCAGATATGAGAAAAAACTGTGTCATATGGTCACTCCTTTCTCTCTTGAGCTTTATTTAGGTTAAAGACACATATTGGGAGTTGGACAGAACTTAATTCATGATATGGACATATATCCATAGTTCAACATCCCAATCAAGACCTCTGATATTTACATTACTCAAGAACAATGCCCTGCCTACTGGTGGGCAAACCTCTATCTCCTGGCAGCAGAAACTTGATTTGATTTCTTGCATGAACCAAACATTGATTCTATTTTATTGCTAAGCAGTGTCTCTGCTGGAAACAATCACAGCTTCTTTATCAATTCCAATATTAGTGGACATTAATATCTTTATAATTATTAGTTATTATGAATAAAGGTATTATGAACATTCCTGCACAAATGTTTTGTTGGACACATCTTGATTTCACTAGAGAAAATACCTAGGCTAGGAACCCTTCTAAATGGCTGGTAAGAATATAAACTAGGAAGACCACTATGAACATCAGGATGGAGATTCCTCAGGAAATAAAAACTAGAAATTTCATTTGACCTGGCTATCCTCTTCTAGTTTTCTCCTGGAAGAGTTACAGATGTCACAGCACACTGCATGTATAAATGTCATATCACAGGGTTACATCCATACCTATCTATCTATGAACGGATAGGAATTACTACTCCGCCAAAAAGGATAAATCATTATATACCACAAACACACTAATTAAAAAAAGAAAGAGAAAATAACAATATAACTCCTATGCCATATAAGGTATATAAATCACATTAGCAAATACAATATTAATAAAACATATAGTAAAAAGATCATGTTCAATATTTTACCAACAAAAATAGATAACTTTTTAAAATATTTCTGATATTAAAGTCACATCACACTTCTTAGGAATGCAACTGGATGTTGCAATATATAAATATTTCAATGAATGTAATTATTATATATATTATATATATTATATATACTCAGGAAAGTAAAATAAATATATAATTACTTCAGTCTCTGATATAATATATATATATATATGTATGTATGTATGATTTCATTTGTGATCTTGTTTCCTATAACTTCAGTTTTACACTAAGCCTCAAATTATGAACGAAAAATTTCCTACGATTGGAGGTTCCACGTAAGCACACCTGAAATGACTTAGTTCTACAATTCTTGTAGTCTCATAATTCTTGTAAGAACTGATAAAAACTATTTACATGGTAAACTTTATAAATCCATCATTGGAAAAAGAAAATTAATTGCGCATGTCTGGAATACTCACTACTTTGTTGAGATTTGTGATAAAAGGAAAGATTGAAATTTTTTAGAACTACTTAAAATTCTAAGTTTCTGGAGCTTCTCCATTTTTATAGTTTAGTTTTTAACATATGATACTACATAATGTGCTTTTTAAAACCACATTTCAGAAAGTTTCATAATTTCACCATATTTCTAGTCTGTTGATTCCCCTCAGATTACCAAAAATATCCATCCACGTTGTTTTATGTATCCTTAATTTATTCAGCATGAACAAAACAGTTAATCTGAACTATATATTTTGTATATGTTTTCTACATAATTAGAATGATTTTCTTCAAAGCTTTTATAGTTACACACTGATTTTTATAAGAAAGATTATTCCATGCATATATTTTGAGAACCATCATAATATGCTGTATGAATTACCCTAGATTAGGTGAGGCATCCATTAAATGCTTTTATACCTCTCTACTTTTCTAATCATCTAAATTGGTATGCTATTTTAAGAAATAAAAACACTTGAAATCAGAATCATCATTTAGAAACAATGGCAGGTGACATAAATTTCACTAAATGTATTTGTATATTCAAGGTCTTAAAATATCAGATAGGATAGGGTATCACATTTACTGTCTTTCAGAGAGGTATACTATAGAATTTCTGCTTTCAAAATAGAAAACTGAATGTTTTTGTGTATTTTGTTACTTTATTCCATATTTAGACAACATTTTACTAATCAAAGCACAATACAACATAATCTAAGTTATATGGAGACCTAAGCATGATGGTCCCCTATATGATTTTATTTGTGGCAGGAGAAACAGCCCCTCGGCTATTCTGTTGTTTCTGTAATAAAAGTGAGTAACTTTTTACTGAGTTACTGAAAGTACTTTCAGTTCTCATGCTCTTGGCAGGTATTTTTATTATTTTCACACTGAATCTTAAATTATCAGACTTTTTTTTCTATGAAAAACTAATAACATAAAAGTTTTATTCTTCCACAAATAAAAAAAGGTTACCAAGGTCACGTTTCAGACAATCAAAACTAATAGAAAGACCTACGTTAGCTTCTCAGAGCTGAAAGTGACTGTAGTCTCTATCAAATATCTCCTTTTATGGATAGGAAAATAAAAATCCAAAGCAGTTCAATGCAGTCTCTGTGTTCACCATGTTTAACAAGGTTAGCAGGGTTAAGAGGGTTAGAATCAAGGTTAGAAGTAAGAGTCAGGGCTCTTGACCTCTGGGACGTTAGCTTACATCAAATGAAAATATCTTGACATCTATTTAAATGAGTTAGCTTGTAAATTCACTGTGGAATCAGAATTTATGATGCTTTATTATACTTTTAATATTTTCAACAAAAGATGAGTAAGATTTTTTTTTTTTAAATTATAACTTTTCTAATAGACTCACATATTCAAAAGGATTGGCCTGATCTGGTTGATTGTTGCATGGTTCTGTCATGAATAAATTTTTTGTTTTGTTTGTTTGAAAATATACCTAAGAGGAAAATTTATATTTCAACATAAAAAAATGAGTGAAGAGAGTATGTTAAGGTAATTTACGTGGAATTACTAACAAAGCTAATTGATAAAATAAGGGGAATATGTATGTTGCTCAAAATTGTTCTGTATCAATGCCAAAGTCTAAAAGAAATACGTAAATTCATCTTCTTGGTAAATGCAAAGAGAAGGGAGGTAGGAGACAAGGAAGCTAAACAGAATGTCACACAGCATATTCTCTCATCCATGTCTGAAGACTGTCAGTAGGAAAACTTCAAGAAATATAATGAAAAAAAAATCAATCTATAAAATAGGAAACGACAAAAATGAGTGGTAATTTGAGCAAAACCCACTCAGAACAGCACTTTCCAGAAAGTCTTTGGTGCCACAAGACAGCTGGTATCTATGGATACATAATGCTTGTTATATCCATGCCACATACGATTCTGGGGCACAAAGCCAGGTGCAGACTACAAAGGCATTTTAGATCCCCTAAAAAATACTATATGGTACCAAAGCCAAGCATCCATGAATGCTTCCATTTTAATGAAAACCAAAGTAATTAGGAATTGCACATGGAATCATACTATTTACTTTGGCAGAGACAGGGAAAAAAAATGGACTTAATATTTAGTTCATAAGATAGGATATACATTACACAAAATATGTTAGTATCTGTGGGGGAAATTAGTATAAGCAAAAAAGTAGAAAGTCTCATTTCTTTGCACGATAGACCTAAAATGAGGGTATCCCAGTATTTGCAAATCATATAGACTACAAGGGCAGTAACAACTAGATTAATATACAGCATGATGTACACCTAGGTATTAGTCACTTATTGTAACCATCATCCCAAATCACCTGCACATTAATGATTATCCAGACTCTAACTTCACCTCCCTGAATAATTAATACAATGCTACATCCTGCTATCGATGTTCAAAAACTAAATTAAAGTTAATAATAATTTTGATTTTAGGTCTCCATTTGTGTTGTTAGAAATTTAAAATTCTATGCCCATTAAATCTCTTTGTTCATTCTATGCAGAGAGAACTACAATAATAGTGATGATAAAAATGATATTCAGAGAATATTCTTCCTTCTATATCGCCCAGCTTTAAATCTTCAGCTCACAGCTCACTGCTGTAGATTTGGTCTTCTGGCTTCTGAAATCCACAGGTTCACTGAACTATTTCTGGTAAATTCTCTAAAGATAAAGCTTATTCCTTGGTCTGCGAACTTTTCTGTGGTCCTTTTTAAGCTCTTTATATATGCCATTTAGATTGCCCTAACTTGTGAGTTAAATCCCAACTAATTAAACCTAGATCTTTATTAAGGACTTCATATGTTCAAGGCAGTCATCTTGACCTCAGGGCTATGATCAACCCTCAGACACAAGCATCCTGAAAACAGTTAAATTGGCTCCCTGCCCATGTATATTTCCTGAAAACACTCCCAAACATCTCTTAATGTACTTTCAAAAAACTTTAGCAGACTATGACAGTTCCTATGTAACTACTACACTTCTGTTCAGTTCAAATTTCAAAATACCGTTAGATAAGAAAAATGTCCCTTTGTTTCCACGTTGAAGGGACATAGAGACGTTTTCTGCAGTATTTGTACATAACATTAGCGAAATATTAGGATTCAGCCACAACCTTAAAAAAGGAAATGCTTGTCATGAATTTACAATCCATTCAGTGAAGCACACACAGCGAGCCAGTTCCTGGGGTGTGCTGTGTGTGCACATACTCACATGATACACAGCAAATGATGAGATGACAAACAGCATGGTAGTTTGTTTTTTGTTTTGTTTTGGTTTGTTTTTTTTGTCTTTCTGGGATGGGGTCTCGCTATGTAGTTCAGGCTGGCCTTGAGCTCACTTTGTAGCCCAGGCTGATTTCAAGCTCGCAACCATCAGCCTGCCTCAGCCTCCCCAGTGCTGGGATTACAGGTGTGCAGCACTGCGCCCAGCACTGTTATTTCTCTTTTTAACCTGCTGAGCTCCAGCATGGCTTCCCCAGGCCTTACCTGCAGCCATAGCTTGTTATGCACCGCGTCCCTCCCTGTAGCGATGCACTGGAACGTCGCATTCTGCCCTGCGTTGACCTCTACGTCCCCGAGGCGGAGGAAATGAGGGGATTTGTCTGTGAAAACAGAAAAAAAGTTGTTTTTTTTCACTTGACAAAAATGTGACATGTTACTTTTCTCCAACCAAACATTTCTCATGTTTCTACATTTGGACAATACTAATACATTAGAGAACATGGAATTCTCCTTTCTAGTAGTTATCATTTCTGAGCTTACTCTCAATGTTCTACTTCTCACTAGCTGGGTTACTCACTCTCCCACAATTGCTAGCGCACTGTTCTCTCCAGAGTGAACAACCACTTGAAATTACTCCCGAAGTCTGCCACGGGAGGTTAGATACCAGTGCTAGCAGAAGTTCTAAGTTAGAGTAGGTAAGAGATATTAAGTAGGCATCAATCAGAGCATAATGCAAAAACAGAAGAAAGACTTAGAAAGTTTCTAAGATACTGCCAGTTCCATGTCCACGGAACTATTTACCTACAACTTAATCACAGAGATCTCCTTTGCCTTTTTTTTTTTTTTAATTGGTACCGGGGATCGAACTCTCGATTGCCTGCTGCAAAGCAGGTGCTTATGCCGCTGAGCTAAATCCCCAGCTCCTCCTTTGCTTTTTAAAACTTTAGTAGTTATAATCCTCTAGTGCTGCAAAGACAAAAGCCATGTTCTTGTTTCCCAAAAATAGTACATCAACTTAACTGTCATTCTATCTACTTTGTGTTTCATTATAGCTGTAGGAAAGTTACTCAAAAGAAATACCAGACCAAAAAAAAAAGTAATGACTGTAGTCAAAATGTGTGTGTCACACAAACGTTCTCTGCAATTTCCTTTTAAGACTGAGGTCCCATATATGTTTTTCACTGGGGAAAAATATGAACAGCAAAAGCCAAGCCTTAGAGAATCAAAGTTGTTGGAGAAGCATATCGGTCCCTAACTTTCTATTTACTCATGAAAGTATTACTTTATCATCTGTCATTTGAGAAGTAAACGTGAGCAGTAGACGGAAGCACAGGTATCATATAATACGCAGGGGAAGAATGTGGTGAGACTCTTGACTGTGCCACCTGGAATGCGTGACTCGACCCCTGCGTCTTTCTCTAGGATCCCAAGGGGAGCTCAAGGAAAAGAAATATTTGAACTAGAACATGAACCAAGAAAACAGCTTAGCCTGGGTGATGCAGAGACTTGGTGAAACCCTGTCTCAAAATGAAAAAAAGAGAAAAAGGGCTGGGGACGTACTCAATACAAAGGTTCAGAGTTCAAATCCCAGGGCTCCCCCTGAAAAAATCATGGCGAGAACCAGCTATTTGTTATGATATCAAATAATACCCTAAATTCCAAATGAGGTGAAGGAATTCATTCCCTTCATCTTACCACATTCTAAACGTACTTCTGTTTTATTTTCCTTCCTTTTGAGCATTAATTTGCTATTATTCTTTGTATCCAGAAACAACTGGTAATACTTGAGATGCAAAGAGGTCTACACAAATTGCCTTTGCATCCATATTCTCAGTGATTAAAATGTTTTTAAAAAACTGTAATACGTGTACAGTTAGTTGCAAGCCTGCAATTTCTGGAAATATTTCAGTGTTCTTATAAAGCTGGAAAAGGCACAAATAACAATCACAAAAGAGACAATAATGTCCAAGTGATAAACAACCAACAGTCACCACCAATCTAAGACAAGTATTGAAGGGACATAGAAAAATACAATTCTTAATCACAGCCTACCACAAGGATAGCTCAGAACTTGGATGTCATCGATGGCAATGTAACCACTTCGCCCTCCTGAGACTTCAGCTTCAAATATGACCTGTCAAGAGGAAACAGAAAACATTTATAGTAATCATTTTTAGGAAGTGCCCAGAATTGAAAGGGATGATGATGGTTGTTATACACTTAAAGGTAAATTGGAGCTTTGTGCCACTAAGAATTAAAACTTTATCTATAAGGTAACTTTGTAAACTTTGAACAAGTAAACAAAAAGAACTCAAGGGATAATTTAATTATGAGAGTGAAGCAGCTCAAACTTTTTAAAGAATGATTAACAAGAACGGTTAGATTTCATGAATACACAATACAAAGGTAGCATGAAGACTGATAACAAAAAACCTGACAGTTCTAAAAGTAATTCTTTCCCACTAACTTTATTCCTTTTTGTTATTAAGTTCCTTTGTATATCTATTACGTTCCAATCCCTGCTAGCTGCTGAAAATATGAAATGAATAAACTATTCTGAGCTTTTAAACAGCCGAAATTTCAACGAGAAGATCAGATTATTGGGTTTCATGCATGTGTTGCTGTTGATTTGCTTATTTACCTTTGAGACAGGGTCATGCTAAGAAGTTCAGGTGGGCCTTGAACATACTATGTAGCCAGATAGGCCTGGGACTCGCTGGAATCCTCCTATTTTAGCCTCTCAAGTGCTAGAATTAGAGGCAGCCACCAACTCACTGGCATAATTGGTATTCCACACAAAAGAAATGAAACAGCAAAATAGAGTAGGGTGGCATGTATGTTCTTACTATCCAAGACAAAACAGATTTATCACTTGACATTTCATTGCTGTATTTGATTTTTTATTTACAGAGCAATACAGATTACTTTAAAAGTGTTTTGCAAAGCATTTTAGAAAATGTAATGAAAGTTGATTTTTTTTTTCCAGTTTTCTGAGACAGGCTCTCACTATGTAGTTCAACCCAGCCTTCACCTCAAACTTGTGACAATCCTCCTGCCTCAGCTGCCTGAGTTGTAGGATTATAGGTATGCACAATCATGCCAGGTTTCAAAGTTGATCTTTAAAGTAAGAATACAATTAAATTGGTTTTATAAAAATATCTTTGACTTTAAAATATAAGAGGGATCTTGAAATGGTGGTGCATGCCTCTAATACCAGCACTCAGGACGCTGAGGCAGGAGGATCACCATGAGTTCCAAGCCAGACTGTGCACAAGACCCTATCACAAGACAAAAACAAAACAAATCTCCTTTAAATAACTAACATGTTAGTAGCAGTGAAAATACTGAGAGAGAAAAAAATATAAAAATAATGAAGACATAGACAAGCTAGAACTTGCTGAAACATAAAATGACTCAATAATTTCTGGCTTTTCCTATTCAGTGTATATGGCTGTCAGGAACCTGGCCTGGACAAGTACTGATAGATAAGATACAGATTTGAACAAAATATATAATAAGTATATTTCAGATTTCAAACTTGATTTTCTTCTGATACATGTAGAAGGAACCAGACTGATAAATCTGGAAGAGAAGGCTCTATATGAAGGCTTGCATTTGGGAGACAGGAAGTAAGGGGTCCATCTGAAGATCACTGTAGGTGGTTGAGTAAGATGGTGTATTATCTACTTTCTGTCCCAGGAACAATCTAACTGACACCTTCGTGTTACATGGGGAGCGGGTTATGTCGGGCAGGGTTTCAATAGTTTCAGCCCATGCATGGCTGGCTGGCTTTGAGGCCCAAAAGGCACAGCAGAGGGTACAGCCGAAGGGCCTGGCAGAAGAAAATAGCTCAAGCCATGGTGGCCAAGAGATGGAGACAGAAAGGAAGGACCTGGAGGAGAACGAAGCTTCCCATGTCATAACCTAATGACCCACTTTCTCTGCTCAGGCCCCTCCTGATTTCAGGGGGCATTTTAAATCTGAATTGTAAAATTCTACCCTTAGCCCCTCAAAGGCTCAGGTCCATCTCATGATGAAAAATGAATTTAGTCCATCTCGAGATCACAAAGGTCCATCACAAAGTCCTACTGTGCTACCCTGATGAAAAGTCCAAATCCAATGACATCTCTGATTCAACACAAATCCCTAGCTGTGAGCCCTTGGCAGGGACAGATAAATTAAGAGGACAGCTCTCTTGGAAACAGAGACTAAGACTGATGAGCAGGAATAAAACTAACCAAGCATGATCAGGGCTAATGGCTAAAGAAACAAAGAAAATCTCAGGTGCTTTAAAAGCAAGTTAACACTTTCATCAAACCAACTAGATAAGGCCAGGTCAGTCACAGATAATCTATGCTAGACATCTCAAATATGTGTGCTTAGTGGCAAATTTAGGGAGGAAAGAACATCTCTAATATTATCTAAAGATACCCGGCTATTATTCTCTTCCCTTGGGAATATTTACCAGTTTGGGGATTGGGTTATGATTCTGGTCATGGGTAAGACAGAGTAAAGTTCGGGGAGTTTCTTACAGCGGCTTAAAAAACATGTAGGAATCTGCAAAGTTGAGAGGTTGTGTTTATTTTAAAAAAGAAAAAGATGTAGGCCCCAGCAAATACAACCCAGTGTAAGAGATGAATCAAGAGAACATGAATTGAAAGCACCAACTGGAAGTGGCTGGTATAAGTTCTATGGTAATGTTTCCCAGGACAGTTTTATTCTCCGGTAGGAGTCACAAGATAACTAACTGACAGATAACAACAGTTAACATTCATTGGTTATGGAGTATTTACTCTATTAAAAAGACTTTCCTAAGCTGGCACATGCATTCACAGTTGTGTCTGCATTGTTTATTTCTGTACACACATATGTAGACTCCTAGGATCCTATGATTATATGAGATAGGAATTATTTTTATCTTCATTTCAAAAAAAAGCTAAGTAATTGGACTAAGACCTATCAGCTAACAAGTATGAAAGCCAGGCCCACATCAAGCCGTCCTAGCTTCAGACTGATTTCCTCAATGTCACTACAAAGGCACAGGAAGAGTATTTCACTTCAGTGTATTGTGCGCTTTAAGTTCCCTGCAAAAGTCTACAAGTCTAAGTGAGTTTTAAAGCTTACAAACTGTACTGTCATGTCAAATAACAGATATGTGCTGGCTCCAGGGCAGCGTCAGGAGCAATAACCCTTCCTGTTCTCAGGCTGGACTCTTACACCCCCAAAGCTTAGAAAGGAAGGCACAGGGCAGGCTAGGACTTTCGCTTGTCCATCCACTCCCAGTGTGATGTCTCCTCCTTTTTCTCAACTTAAGCTCTGCCCATGGTGCCTATCACTTTTACTTGGTGAGTTTGAGAGGCAGCATGCTGAAGAGGATAGAAATAACTTTCAGGATAGAAGGATACTAATCTGTGAGCACACAGTGGGTGTGTGCAGTTGTGCGCATGTGAACAATTGATTAACTGCTCATAGGAACGCGTTTTTGTAGGAACACATTGCCAGGTCAGGAACAAAAACAAAAAAGAAAAATACATTAAACAGTGTGTATCAGAGACAACTGTGCTGCGACAGAGGGATATTCTTCAAAGTGAGAAACTGTACTAGATGCCAAGCTCGCCTTTTTACAAACTTTTGAGTAAGACCCAAAGATGGGAGGATTTGAGCCAATTCTCATTGCAAGGACTTGTTTGACACAGAGATTTCACCATAAGTTTGATGAGTTGTAAAGAGCAGTATATGGAGCCAGTGTTATGCAAGTCTGCAGGTATGATAATTAGGGCTTCCAGTGCAGGCTTTGGAAGGGAACAAGTGAAGGAAGTAAGTTTTATTTGATGGAAAAGTGGTTCATACGGAAAGAACGATGGAAGTCTTTTCTGAAAAACATTATGTTCTAATGACTAAATCACAAGTCTCCGTAACAGCTGGTCATAGATAGTTATCTCAGTTTTGTTGTTGTCAGCACTGGTTACCTTATTTTAACTTCTTGGCTTAGCCTGGTACTACCTTCTAGAGCTGTTTAACTTCGGTTGCTTCCTATAAGTGATAAGTTTAATGAGATTACTATACCCTGGAGAAAAACGTTCTTTATTTGTTCAATTAATTGGAGTCTTATTCAGGACAATAAATTTAGACCTTGATTTAAAAGAAGGCAAAATGATCGGTTCTTTATTAAAGAAAAAAAAATTAAAAGGTTCATTTTTTGGTGAGCTCACTCTCCCTGGTAAGTATTGTCTCTGCCTCATTAACAAAAGCTGGAGGAAATTTCTGAGATCAGATTTCTTTACTGCTAGAGATGCAATCAAGCTTTCTCGCCTCAACAGAGCCCTCACCTTGGGAAGCTTTTCTGTCCAGTCAGGGGAAACAAATCTCCACAGCTTAATCACTCAAAGCTTGCTTGGGCTGATGGTGAGGTCACAGCTAATGCCTGGGGTCAGCTGGTCAACCAGGGCTTCCCAGAAAAGGGGCACAAGAGAAGCTATCCTGAGGTTGATTGTACCCCACCCAGGAGGCCCACGTGGCCACGTGAGGGACCGGAAGGACTTTCCATCCTGTTTCACTGCACACTGTTACCCGAGACACTGAAGGTGGCGACTCTAATCAAATTTTTGCTACTCCAGCAACATTGCTGGATTATTAACTAAATAAATGAAGTAAAGTTGAATTAAAGTGGAGATGGAAAAAGTAGCAAACTTTTATAAAGAAAGAGGACAATGTCATCCCCTGGCAAACAGAAGGCAGAGGAGAGAGAGCAGCTGATTGTGAAGTCAGGGAGCTCCGGCTCTCGCTGATGGTCTGCTCTCAGCTGCAGCCTAAGACATTAATTCAGTGTCTTTACAACTGCATCTGCCTGCATCATGGCTTTGCAGATGCTGATGCACATAAAGCAATTAAATGCTATATGGAAGAGAAATGCAATATGAGGCGGTGCGGCCACCACAGAAACCTGGTTTTATGAGTTCTTCATTTTGCTCACTCTACCATAATGTTAAGAGCACCCACTGCAAAGCTGGATACACATACAGTTCATTCTCTGGCAAATTAACTGACATAAAAACTTAGAGTTTAACTTTCGTGAAAGTTAAACTGTTTGTTTGTTTCTTCTGTAACATAAAGTATTGGTTTCTACCTCAGGGC